ATTAGCGAAACACACTGAGCAATAAGATAGATGGTCAGACACCAAGCTCATCAAATAATAAAAATATGCTAAAGGTATACTCATGAATCTATACATTGGCTCGATGCTGCGACATTAGGCCCGAGCTCAGCGCGTTGTCCAATGAAGGACAAGCCACGGAACCTTTCGTACATCTCCTCTTCTTGGCCGCATCAGGATTCACGCAGGGCCTCTTGAAACCTCTGGTCGAAGCAGCCAACGCCGAACTAGGCACCGGCAACCCCAAAACGATGACTCTCTTGGCCGGAGGAGGAGGCTTCGGAACCACAGCTGTTTCGACCTTGCTGGACATCGGGACTATGGTCGGCTTTGGGATCACGGCTGGCTCAACCTCAGAAGGCTTTGGGATCACGAATGTTTCGACCTCATAAGAAGCCGGGAAGGCGGATGAACTCGATGGTGGTGGTCGCCGAAGGTTTCGTAGCAACGCTCGCCGATATGCTCGGAAAAATTACAGGAGCAATCGAATCCGTTGGGATTACACTAACTGGACTCACCGCCTCTTCAGCATCCATCTCTTCCTTAAAAGAAAGGAATTCTGAGATGTGAGGGTCCGGCTGGCATGCTGTGGAATTCTCGCTGACCAAGACATCATGGTTTTGATGATCATCACTGGGAGAAGACATCTTGACAAGGAAATTACTTAGAGAGAAGTTGGAGGAAGTTTGAATGATTGAAGATATGTGAAGAAAGAAAGAAGTGATGATCCAATATTTATAGGAAAACAAGGAAGATTATATTTTTTCGTAATAAGATAATCAACCTACTTTTTCGCAATACAAAAAGAAAAGACGATCGCAGCCATAGATTTCGATTAACAACTGTACTCGCCCGCAAGAACCTTCCTTAACCTTGCATGCTGGGGGGCTAACTATTGGGGTCAAAAACGGTAATCTCAAAATCAACGTCTACGATTACTTCTCCTTACATTCTCCAAAAGAATCTCGGACCGAGAAAACAAGAAAAGATCGAAACCGAGCAATCGTCCAGCTCGCCAACAGGTGAGCTTACCACACATGTGACCAGCTCGCATGTTGGTGAGCTGAACGCATTTATCCAGCTCGCCCATTGGCAAGCTGAACACATCTGTCCTGCTCGCCAATGGGCGAGCTGACCACACATGTGACTAGCTCGCCCATTGGCGAGCTGAACACATCTCTCCAGCTCGCCAATGGGCGAGCTGACCACACATGTGACCAGCTCGCCGATTGGTGAGCTGAACGCATCTGTCCAACTCGCTAACGGGCGATCTGAACTAAACCATCTATACCCCTCGACTTGATCGTACTCTGAGCCGTGATCAGAACGTCTTTCGTTTCGTCTCAATCCGCCTTACCGTTTGAGTTTTGCGATAAAACCTGTAAAAGACACGTTTTTAGTAGAATCTCGAGTAAATCGTATAAAAGGGAAACAGTTAAACGAAACACCAAACATTTCCAAACTATACGATTAACTCGAGATTTTTTAAGAAAAAATCCGCTAAAGATGCGTTTTCTCGTAAAACCTCGAGTAAATCGTATAAAATGGCAACGGTTAAACAAAACACCAAACATTGCCAAACTATACGATTAATTCAAGATGTTTACTTAAAAACAGCATCGTATCAGGAAACGATTTTGTCTAAAGTCGTAAAATGGCTAAATCGTAAAACGACCCGAAAGGTCCTAAAACGCGATAAAGGTCCACTTGTGACTTTGAATAAAGTCTAGCCCAAAGATACAATGATGGCTTGCCTATTATCTACAGAAGTGGATAAATGTCAATATTGAAGATAAATGGAAGTTTTCCGAAGAAAAATGGAAAAATCGAGAAAAATGGAAGATTTCCAATGAACGCAAATCGCAGCGGAAAAGAAAAGGCCAACCGCCTAGAGAAGGAGTATATAAGCATGAGGTCGAAGTCAAGAGGAGACAGAGCTTTTTAGACCTAGAAAAACTGCTGTTAGCTTAGGCGAATTTAGTACTTAGGTGGCTAGACTAGCAAGTCGGATTCTTAGAACGTTTTGTCGTCTAAGTTCCGCGATTCTCTTTGTAACAGCTTCTCAATCTCTTTATCAATAATAGCCTTTGCGCAATTTCTTCATCTGTATTCTCTTATCTTTTTCGTTTTAAGTTTGTTTCCGCAGAGATCCAAAACCTCAGAAAATTAAGGTTTTCCCTAAGTTTCGATATTTGACGTAAAATCGACAGTGAGAATTTCGGTTTCAACAATTGTCTCTCACAATTATCATGTACATACATTGATACACATATATCTAGTTGCATACCATCATTAATATAATTTCGTAGTTCAAAGATAAAAGATAAACAATTCACACAAAATATTTCTAGCATCATTATATAAATGACCACCACATAGTTATACCTCTACTCCATGAAATTCAAAACCAATAATTCTCAAACTCAGCTGACAACAAATTAGTAAATAATTTGACCCGTACGCTTACAAAAGGTCGTAACGGTCAACATCACATAACTTGTCCCAACAAAACAAAATAAGCCCTATAAACACCTACATTTGTAAATGGTACAACTATACAATCCAAATCTAGAACTTTACCCCACATGTAATTACAATTAGACTAACATAAAACTAGATCGAATTAAACAAACGGAGGTGCAATACCATATAGAAAGTAATCATGGAATAATTATTTGTACTTTATGGAACATAATAAAATCAATTAAATAACAACTGTTATAATGGTCTGAAACATATACACAAAAATGTGAACTACCACAAACATCTCATGCATTTCAATATCTAGCATCTGACAATATATAAATCATTCCCAATTTGCAACAACTTATTCTAGCCACCCACAAATTACATAACTAATTAAACAAGTCCTATCCATTCAACCTTGAGAGATTCAACATATCACTAAACATCACTTAACTAAAACCAAAACAAAGATACAAACAAACCCCTACAAGGATTTGAAATCTAAACCTTCAAAGAGGGATCAACTTGCCCAAAAATCATCTCAGCAAGACCGATTCCCGCAATAATCCAATCTTCCTTGGCCAAGAAAGAAGTTTTCACCTCCATATCAAACGGTATCACGGCCATACACGTTACATCTCCTACGTTCAAAATCAAAGCCATAAGCCCACAATTCACAAATCCATAGACCCCATCAAATAAAATTAGAAACTCTATGATATTATTTAAAGAAGCGATGAGATAGAACATGTGTCACCAATAAAAACATTAGCTTTGACACTTGCATGTAATTAAAGAAAATAAGAACTAAGCTTGATCTACGATGACAAAAACGACAAATTAGGAACATCTCAAACCTTGACTAACAGTTACACCATATTCTAATGAGGACATGAGGCAAGTCTGGACCAACGTCCAAACAGTTAGCCTTATCAGTTTTTCTTGTAGCAGTGAACTCTTTGGAATATGTGGACTTGTTCCTACTCTCATTTGCTATCTCTTGTGAGCTTAAATAACGTTCATAGTCACCTAACCTGCTTCCAGAAAAGACGTTGCTAAGTTACTTCAGATTGACACAGATAGAATTTCATAAAAACACATTTTAGTGGATAATGCATCAAAATCATTTAAGAAAGGCAAAAAAATATATTTTTATGTTTTAGACTTCCAATATATCTTTTTCGTCCTTGTGATTTTCTTGACTGGGTTTGAGAAATCAAATTCTGATATGTCCATTTGAAATGATGATAACTTGCCAATCTGCACCAGATCGAAATCCATATCCCTGAGAAGAAGACAAAGAAATAGAAATATGTGAGAAAGATGGCCTTATTGCCAAGCAACATTATCTTAGAGAGATAATCCATGACTCAACGATTTACACTTTCTTGTTTATGTCTCATAATCTGTTCTACCTTTTACCTAATGTTATGTCTACATAAGAATAAACTTCTCACCCACTATACATTGTTCTGCCTAACGTAGGATACATATTATAACCAAATCACAAAAATATAGAAACTTCCATATTTCAGTTAATATCTTTCTTAATATACATTAAATCTACCCTAAATTTCTCAAAGTATTTTTTATCCCACGTTTTCTCCTTCCACGATTTTTTCTCTTTCCTTTTTTTGTGTCTTTTTCTGCTTCATCTCATAGTCTAAGCTTTTACGTATATACATATACACGTAAATCTTATTTAAATCATCTATCATGAACCATGGTTCATTTTCAATGTAGCAAAACGCGTAAGACGTTGCCATACAAATTAAAGGGTTCTCATAGAAAAAAATGTCACTTAGACTTTTATTCCATCAGTGAGTGCTTCTACATCAATCATCCTATTATTTGAAAATCAAACATTAATCTGAAAATCAAATACTAAAAATAAAGTAAAGTCTCCTCCGTTTCAGCCAAATGGCTCAACTGTTAGCAAATGATCAAACCTAAAAAATGGCGTGAAAAGAATACCATTCCAAGACGATGTTTTTGATGCATCCTTTTATGCGTCGAACTGTGAAGCCATTCTCAATCCCTCAACAATTCTAACCGAGTGTTTTCATGTTATGTTTGTGTTCTTCAGTCTACGGTCCATTCCATGTATTTAGTTAAATGTTCTTTATTACATTCTCTTGTTACAAACATATAATGATTCAGTCTGTCCTTTATTATATATTGTTTATTGGACACGATTTCCTCATTGTCGAATCACGATCTCTTATTTCTGAATTGCCGTATATCTGAAGCTAGCATGCGGAGTATAATGTTTTACTTGTTTAATAAGAAACCAATAAGAACGTGGTGTTAAAAAAAAAAAAAAGTTAAGCTAGAGAGATGCTGGAGTACTCGAGCTATGATCCAATTTTGAGAACCATATTTTCTCTTTGTTTTTAGCAACTAAACCATATTTTTCTTATACATAGATAATTGAACAAAAATGAACCTCCTCGATGTCAACAGTGACATAATCCAAAACATCAAAATTTTAAATGTGCCTCCATAGAAATCTGAACTAGTTTCAGACCGAAGAATACAGCTTTGTCCACTTCCGGAAAATTGTCATAAGCAAGAGAGATGAGGATTGGCAAAATAACCCACATATCAAACCAATCCACAAACCCTGTTTTCACCAAAATAAAGCTCAAAGTAAATTACAAAAACATACTATGTTTCTAAGAGAGTCAAGTATTTACCTTGGCATACAACTTCAACTTGAAACCACAAAGGGCAGCAATAGGCATTCCAATGAAGTAGAATGTTCCTAAATTAATAACCGTGACTACCCTTTGCCATCCACATCCTCTGGCCACTCCTGTAAGTAATATAAAAGTGAGGTTTTTGCCCACTGATTCGAGAAAGAAGAGGGTTTCTTGGATCTTTTATTACCTGATAGAACACCTTGGACCGAATCAAGAGTTATAGAGGCAGCCAGGAAAAATCTCAAAGATGCAAACTCTTCTTTAATCAAAGAACTATTGCTGAATAACCCAACCCAACTATCATGACCTACAAATAAAGTAACCACTACGCCAAGAGCAAGAACTAAAGACAACTTAGTTGTTACAGATGTCGCCTTCTTTGCACCTTTTACATTTCCTGCTCCAAGTTCGTTCGATACACGAGTACTGCAGCAATTTTAAGTTTTACATTTTTGAAACAATATATTAATGAGAGGAAAATGCAGAACCATGGATTACTATTACTTACCTTGCAGCTGCGCTAAGTCCATATGTTAACATGTAGCTAATTGCTTCCGTGTTGACGCTGAACTTTTTCAACATTACACAACAATTAGCTATTTTGAAAATGTAAAAGAAAACATTAATAAGCTAGATAGTATATAAAAACTTACCATATAGCTACCAAAGAAGTGGCTATTTCAGGATTTGGCATTAGTCCTGCCAAGAACACAAGAATTTCGAACGCCCAATATTCCAAGCTGTTACAATATCATATTCGTTTTTTAGCTTTAAGAAGCATATGAAATTATAAGTAGATGACAATGATTATTGATCAGACCTACCATACCATAGCAGCAGAAGGGAGACTTAATGTCAAGTTTATTACTACGTAACGGATAGATTCCAGTGAAAATCCGGTCCATGTATCCTTAAATTTGTCGGAACAAATCACATATGTCCCAAGAGAAAGGAAAGCTATCCACAATGAAATAGAGGTAGCTATTGGAGCACCAATGAACCCAAGGCTAGTTAAATAAACCAAAACATAGGATATGCCGATATTAATCACCAAGGGAACAAATGAGAAGACTACTAATGGAGTAACGATTGATTGTGTTTGGCAAAATCTCAGTATGTTTTGTAAGAATCCGTAAGCGAGTAACCCGGGAGCTTGGTATTTCATATATAGTGCAGCTTGTTTTGAGATGTTAGGATCCTGTCTGATAAAACCGAAGACTGATTCTGTGAAGAACCACAAGATGGAGATGAAGATAGTGAAGACTAATGAGACTATGCAAGATGATTGTAAATGAATCCCTAACATTCTGTAGCTTTTTGCACCAAAGCCTTGACCACATAATGTCTCAAGTGCTCCACTTAAACCAATCTGAAAAAATAAACAATATCCATATGTATATAAATCACCATTAACTTTTTTTTTCCAAATTTCGTACACATGTTCACCTTAAACGTCTTAAACAACAAGAAAACTGGGTTACTAAACGATTAGTATGTTTTTACAAAATTATCAAAAACAACTAAAAAGAAGAAATATTTGTAAATTCGAATAGCTAATTCTAGAGATATGGATGTAGTGAGTTCTACTCGTTTATGCAGCTTTATATCAAAAGCAAATGTTGAATATATATAGCTTGAGTGGAATTGTACCATGAACGCAAAACCGGTGACGGTTGTCCAGGAATTGGCGAGGGTTGCAGCGGCGAGCTCGATCTGGCCGAGGTGAGAAGCGAACATCACAGAGGTTAAAGGGATACAATAGAGGAAAAGATTTGTGAATATCACCGGAAGAGAGTAAATAATTTGAGCCTTTGATTCTTCCACGTCGATCAATTTTTGAACACAAGAGGAGCTTCTGCTTCCTCTATCATTTTCATGATCAACCAACAACGGAGAGCTGGTTGTGAGGGGATCAGCCATTGGATCTCCTTGGTCAAAGACTTTGCTTAATTTAGTTGTTGATGAAACTTTAAGCTAAAATAGTTTTTTTAAACCAAATAGATTTGGACATTGTCCTAAATTCATTCACTTATTGTCCTATTAGACTAAATATTTTCTAATATTAATTCAACATTTTAATTGTTCTATTAGACTAAATATTTTCTAATATTAATTCAACATTTTAATTATTATTTTAATTATTAATTCGTAATTACGTTAATTATAATTATAACAAATTAGTTTTTTAATAACTAAATATAATATAATTTTAAAATGATTAAAAAATAAAAAAAAGTTAGCCCCTTTCTAAACCTAATTACAGACGCCCGTCTCCGCCACTCTTCCTTTCTCTCCGGTTCCCGACAAAACTGTTGTCTCCTCTGCCACTCTCCCTTTCTCTCTCGGTTTCGATTCTTCCCTTCCTCCGCCACTCAACTTTGCTCTCTCGGTTTCGATTCAGAGCCTTCAAATCAATGGAGTGTGAAATCAATCACGATAAGGTAACAAATAAGAGAAGGGGTTAAGGTAGATGAAGCTACGATGAAAGAGATGAGAAAGCAAGAGGAGATTGCTAAAGCCTGCTAAGCAAGCCATGGAAAGGAAAAAGAAGCAGGCAGAGAAAGCTGTCATTAGAGCTCAAAAGGAAGCTGAGAAGAAAGAACAAAAGGTAGTTACTTCTTCTTCTTCTTCTTACGAAGAGACGGATTTTCCTAAGGTTTACTTGACGACCACTGTTGAAGAGGATGAGAACGCCCGTGGTGGAGGTTATGAGTAGACAAACAGGTGGCGAGTTTTGATTGATTGGTAAGGTGAATGAGATTATTTGAAAAGTTGTGAGGTTTATGTTTGTTTTCTGATTCACTGAGTATTTTAGAATGAGATGGGTATAGTGAAAGTCATGTTATTGTGAAGTATATAGATACTAGATAGATCTTAATGGCATTGGAACTTCGAATTCGATATGTATTCGTAGGGGGGAGCTTTGGAGTATACATGGTTACTTACGGTTAAAGTTTCTTAATTGGCAAGTGAGTGTTGATTTGTGTAACGTCAAGATTTTGAATTTTTCTAGAAGTAGCTTGTGTTATATGGCTAAATGCATTCATTGGCTTCTAATTTGGTTTCGAAAGTTGTCGACTTTCTCTACGTGAAGTTAGACTCCAAACATTTCGATAGAGAAGTTGCATCTCTGAGGTGGAGAAAAAATATGATGACATCTGAGAGGAGATGTTTGAGTTTTTTTTTGTTCTGCGCACAGGAGTGGATTTAGAGGTCGGATTGGGTTGAAATTGATTGATATAGCGCATTGTGTCCTTAACATAGGCTTTAGTTTCTTCAGAGAGTTTGACTTGTGATGTTGGTCTTAGGTAATGAATTTTGTGAAACTCAGTTAGTTTAGAGTCTAGCAGTATCAAGAAAGGACAAGTTTGGAACTGTGAGTAACCCTGTTGAAATAGGTTTATCTAGCTGCTGGAGTTCTGACCAGTCTGATAGATAGTATCTCTGATTTGTGATTTAGTCTACAGTGTAATACTGCTGCAAAAGTTTACTGATTCAAAAATATTCATGTTTGGTATCACCTTGCACAAGTTTTTCTGCCTAATAAACACAAGAAAATCTCCATCGCCAAAAAATACTATTTAAATGATTACTGTTATCTAAGTTTCCATTTCTACAGTCTTTAACCCCTTTTTTTCCTTTCTTTGTAGGTTTTTTGTAGTCTCCGTCTCTTTTGATGAGCCAAGGATTGCATGTGATATTTCTCTACCGTCAAGAGATTCTCCCTGGTTTCCTTTTATCTAATAAGGTTTGTAGTAGCTTTGTTTATACTACAAAAAACCCTTTATTTTCCTTCACAAGAACCAGATTTTGTTGTTCAGACATATTCCTTATGTTTAAGGCATGTCCATGACGATGATGACAAACTCATGATTGTCTCAAGTCTTCAGTCGTATTAGAAATGGCTGCTTATGTAAATAATAACACAGAGAAACAAGTAGTAGTGTCTGTGTTCTTGCGGTATTTTTTTTTCTAATTCATCAGCGACAAGAAAATCAAATAAAGAATCAAAAGGAAGAAGAAGCAGAGACTGTGAAAAAGCCAGAATGCCACCAAACTTTGTCTCAATTTATGCATGGATGTGCGTGTGTTTTATGACTATTACCCAAAAACAGACTGTTTCTTTGAGCTGTTTTGCTTCTGTCTCTGGCAAGGATATGACATTGTCTCTCTCTCTCTCGGCATGTACCTTTTGCCTTTACTATTGTACAGACAGAGAACGGCGGCTCAGGATTAAAGAAAATAACACTGTGTGTTTGCAATTTTGGTCCAAAACGTGTCTGTGATAATGCATTAGTCATTACATACACATATTCCAACTTTCTTTACGTTTACAAAAGCATTTCAACCGCTCTCTCTGTCACCATCTGCACACAATGTGGTTTTGCAACTGGTGAAAGATAGAGAATATGAAAAATTCTTACGAAAATATAAATGTATCAATTCGCCTGGAATTATATTCAAATGGAACTCTGTTTAACTTTGAAGTATAAAAGTAAATCATTCATTGATACATACTCACAGGACAGATTTAGTGTGTTTACCTCGACACTAAATCTATCCTCAGGCTGCGTATATATCAGATAGGGAGAGGGAGAGATAGAGATTCATGTGTTGATGATCTCAATGGCGGCTATGTTTTTAGCAAAGAGAGGAGCCATAAACATACACAGGGTTTACAACAAGATTGCTCCATCTTTTACTGATGGAGGAGTCATTACAAAGAGAGTAGCCATGAAGTAAAGGAATATGTCTGAACAACAAAATCTGGTTCTTGTGAAGGAAAATAAAGTGTTTTTGCCTTTGAATTTTCTTTTTTTTTTAAAAAAAAAAACTGAATTTTAAATATGGAAACCGAATATTTCCTAATATATTCTTGCTATATTTTCGGATCTAATAATATTTATCCGTAAAATTCAGATTTTACTAAAGGTAGAACTGTGTAAAAAGATATGAAATCAGTTTCTACATGTATTAGAATGTTGTGAGAATGTAGATTCCAATTTCTACTGGTTTTAGATTTAAGTAAAAGTTTAGATTTCAATTTCAACTTTTATTAGAACTCTATGATAAGCGTGAAATGTGTATTCCAAACTATTTTAGATTCGTGTTATATCCGTAGAAAACGTATTCTGCAGTTCGTAGAAATAGTGAAAAAGTGGATTCCGTATTCTAATCCGTAGTATACGGATTCTAAGTTCGGTAGAATAATATATGAAATTATTATTTACACTTTTTTAAAAAAAAACAGGAAAAAATATCACTATATAGATATAGAGGTTTCATCATTATGTACTATTTTTTTAAAAAAAATTTGCTTCATAAATCTATTTTTTTAATAATTTCAGAAATAAATAAAGGACATTAAAATCAAAATTGGTACAAAATATAATTTAGACTAAAGTGATAATGTCCAAACCTATTTGGTCTAAAAAAACAATTTCCCCAACTTTAAAATGCGAACGAGAAAATTATACTAATATAGTAATATGTATAGGTGAAACTTTGAATTAAATGAGGGTAAGTAGCAACAAGTATTAAATATAGCTAAACACAAAGACAAGCAAGCATTATTTATTCCATTTATTGTCACTCTATGACTAAAATGTAAACTACTCTTCATTCATGTTTAAAAAGAAACTACACTTATTCAAGTTTTTAGTAACAAAAATTAAAATAAGATAATAGCTAAATTTTGTTTAATGATAAATATTTCTATTTTTGCTAAGATTCTTAAAAGAAGATAGTAGCTAGATTTTTGGTTACATACCGAAAATTTAAATAAAAATACATAACTATTATTAAAATACTACAAATGAATATAATTTATGTATAAAAGTTAGCAAGTTTTTTCAAAATTAATTGTAATCTTATTATAATAAACACAAACTAAGATCATTTTAAAGAAAATCCAAAGTTTGTATTTAGTTAAATATATAAAAATTATAATAAGATTCATAAATCAGCATATAAAGACAACAAATTGACTTTTCAAATTTTAAATTTTATTTTAATTTAAAAGCTATACTGTATAATAATTGCATAGTGTCATCTTCTCATGCCCTCATAAAAATGACATAACTCAAGTGTATAAGATTTTCATTTTATAAAAGTTACTAATTTTTATTTAACTATCAATATTTTATTAAAATTAGTTGTTTAAAACACCAAACCTAGACAAATTTATTAAGATAAAAATTATCTCTGTAGTTAAATCTTTATATAGTTTGAATCATAAATCAGATTTTTATTTTTCTTTTAAATTACTTTTAAATTACTTTTAAATTTTTAAAGTTGTGCATGTTTCAAAAAACGACCTAATGCTTTTAATTGGAATAAGACAGTTATACAAAACTTCTACAAAATATTTAAAAATAAAGGTTTAAAATATATTTACACTATATGTGTTAGTCTTGCATGTAGTGTTAGAAAGAAATTCTATTACTTTATTCATATGAATGTAGAATTACCGTTTTAGGTTTAATAGTATTAATCGAGCAAGTTGATGAAAAAAATACTTGCAATATATCATTGGTATACGTGCAAGATTGGTCATGATCACATTCTTATGAAATATTTACCTTTTTAATTGCTTTTAAAAACAATATATAAAAGCATATGATTTCCAAATTATAAATAAAATTATTAAAATATTTAAAGTCAATCACGATGCATGCATATCACCAAATTGTGCATTTTTAAAGTTTAAGACTCTTCCCTGTTATTGACTTTAGCGGTAGACGCACTGATGAGCGAGATCAAACATTAACCTACTGTTGAAAGGGAGGAATACGATTTAGTCAACAAAACAGGTAATGAGAGGAAAGTTTAAAGATTTTGAGTAGATAAGTGTGAGTAGATACAATGACTGCCGGAGCAAGAGAGTGAAAAATAGAGTGAAAAATGTTGAATTTTTTTTTTTTTTTTTTTTTTTTTTAACACAAAGTGAAACATGTTGATTTAAATGACATTTTCCCAATATAAAACGGGTTGTCCACTAGTTATGTAAATGTATCGATTCGAGTAGAGTTAAACACAAATACTCATTACTCAGTTTATATTCGCTACTTGGCTTATTTTTGTCTAATTTTCTTTCGTTGTCAAATTTAGTATCAAGTAATAGAATTTAAATATTTATAAGTACAAAACAAGTAACAAGTAAAAAATAAAATTTTTGTTATACAGTTTGTTATTATCCATTACTTGCTAATAGAAGACATTTTTGTTGTTATGAAAAGTAAATAATACACGAAAGATTTATATTTTTGATTATTTTCTTTTTATATTATGCACAAATATTTGAATCAGAATATTTCCCATGTTTTTATAGTAGAATAAATAAAATAAACTTTTATTTTCGTTTTGAACGAGAAAAAGACCATTAAAACCATAAACTTTCAAATTAAAGCCAAAAAAACCTCCAACTCATGTTTGAACCAAAAAATCTCCAACTTTTAAATATTAGTCATTTTAACTTTCATATTGTGTTGATTTGGCTATTTAAAAAACTCAAATGGTCAACTATTAAACTCCATTACAAAAACAGAAGTCTGTTAATTTATTAAACGATGTTATTTTAAAAACTGATTAAATATTAATTAAACAATGACGTTTTACTTTTGTAAACACTTAAATCATCTTATTCGTGAAACCATAAATTTCAAATCAACTTCATCTTCCTCATTTTGAGTCACGAAGATGAACTCGATTTTTGACTCTAGGTTCGTGAAAGAGATGTTTTAAGTGTTTAAAGAAGCAAAACAACATTGTTTGACTGTTTTTTTTTAAAAAACAACATCGTTTATAGAGTTAATATACATCTATTTTTATAATCGCGTTTGAGAATTGAATGTTTAGGTTTCTTAAATGGCCAAGTCAACAAAATATAAGAGCTTAAAGAGTCAATATATAAAAATTGGAGATTTTTTGGCTCAAATACGAGTTAGAAATTTTTTGGCTTTATTTTGAAAATTCATGGTTTTAAGGGATGTTTTCTCTTTCTTTTTTTTTAACACACAACTTTCATTTTAAATAGTAGAGTATTATCTAGTAGTTAATTCTTAAATACTCATAAATATTCTTTAGCAAAAAAAGAAATAGTCATAAATATTTACAAGTAATTCACAAGTACGTGCAAATAGCAAGTAATAGAATGAGAAAAAAAAAAACTTGCTGACTCATTTTTAAGCAATTACTCATTTTGATTATAGCAAGTAATAGAATGAGAAAAAAAAAACTTGTTGACTCATTTTTAAGCAATTACTCATTTTAATCAAGTCAAGTATAAATCCAAATTTCTATTTTTTTTCCATCTGGTAATATTAATTCAAAGTAGGATACAAAGTTTGATACGTATGCTGATTCACAGCAACAAGAACCCATGAATAAGCAACTAGAAACCCAGACAACTAGAACCCACACCGGGGCCGCTTAAAACGCACAAATACAACTTCACTAACCACTTGAGAAAATTCAATTTAAATCACCATGATACTAGCACGCCCAGCTTGCAACAGCACAATAAACCAGATGGTCATGAACGAGATTATCACTCAGTCCATCGAATGATAACCTCAACCTCTAACAACACAATATAACCCGGCAAGATCAAACCACTCTAGGTTCACACCCACTTCCAGATACAAACACTCCTCTCCAAACCAACAAATCCAGACTTTATAACCCAGCAAAATCGAACCACTCTAGGTTCACACC